AGTGAGGGTTGTTTTGGGAAGATCCACCAGGAGTCTTTTTCCCAGGCACCATCTTGAAAAAATTTCAGCATTTGCTTCTATTCTCAAAACTCTCCTTTTATGATCTGTGGCTTTCTCTCCAAATAAGAAGCTGCTAGTAGTACAGTTATCCATGATAAAATGTTCAGAGTTTTATTCTCTGTACTTAAAGCTTCTTTTTTTTTTTTTTTTTTTTTTTCCTTTTTTTTCTGTGTTAAACCCTTTATCAGAGTCTGCTTTTGAGTCTGGCTTATTTATTTCTCTCACTTTCCTGGTCATTTGAAATGTTTTTAAATGCACTTTCACTTGAAGAGGAGAGAGGTTTGGGGTTACAGATATAATCCTTTCCTAAATTGCCCTATTTTGTCATGGGGTTGGAAGCACAGTCTCTTGAATAAAAAGACTCACACAGCATGGATTTTCTTTAGGGACTTGTGTAAATTAGCTCAACAAAGTCTAGAGCTAGTAATTTACTTTGTTTTCCTTTGGTTTCACCAAAAGGAAAATACAGCTCTGGCTGAAAATCAGTATGTAAATGTTAAGTATTAGTATTTGCCAAGCAGCACATTAGTCTTTAATCTACAATTTCCTGTGAAAGAGGAGGAGGACATCTTTACTTCTCAGTCTTTACTTTGGGCTCATACCCTTTTTAAAATTCAGGTCAGACCATCAACATCAATTTGACTCTGCTTTCACAGTTTGTGCTCACAATATGCCCTAGCAAATCTCTTGCTTTTCAGGTACCTTAAGCCTACTGCAAACAAATCACACAAATGAAAAAGTAATAAAGCTTTGTATTAAGTTTTGGTAGCTCTGTATTATACATTTTATCTACTATATAAATGACAATTATGTCCAGAAAATTGGCAGTTGTAGTCATGCAAATGGTGAAATTGATTCCAGTCACAGCCCATCTTCAAGGCCCCAGAATTATCTTGCCAAGTCCCTTAAAGGGGATTACAGGTTAGTTTTTTCTTTTACCCAGAGTTGGACACAAAGGAGAAATACTGACAAGATATTCCTCAAGAGTCAAAACAGCAAAAATTTTACTGGAAACTTTAGAAAATCAGAGAAGTTTGGCAGAAGTTTAAAGCAACATTGAAACAACACAAAAGCATTTCACAAAGCATTAATTTAGCAAGCTTATGGACTTAGGTCCATTCAACTTGACAGACTCCAACCCATCTGAGCTGGAGTTATTTAGACACCAAGAAGAAAGAATTAGAAGAAAGAGAACAAAGAGTAAGACAGAAGAGATATAGAAAAGAGCAGATATGATGATCACCAGTGGTTCCAGTGGTCAAGACATGCTTGCCTCAGGCTCTGACGTGAGTACCCTTTGGCTTTTCTGGGCCAAACCAGACGGGTTTTCCCTCAGGTGGGACATCTGGTAGCCACTCTGGGGCTGGATTAGGGGCTCCAGGGGCAGGTTTGGAACATTGCCTCCACTGTGCTGCTGCAGGGCTGGCATACAGGCTCTAGGGTGTGGGGTGGATGGAGCAGCGCACCGCCTCACCAGGGCAAGGCTAGTGTGATAAATGAACTTATGAATAAAAATTCGTAGAGGTCTAAATAAATATATTTGTAGCTATAATAATATAAAATATAAAATACAGTGTGGCCAACAAGTCCTTCCCCAGATCTAGTCGCGAATTCCCATTCGAGAGATAACGATCCTAGCCGGCGCCCATCAACCGAAAAGAATGAGCAGGACATGGGCCATCAGGCTGACAAAGGGACGAGCTCGGACGAGATACTCATCGCTGGACCTGAACACCCCGCCTTGCAGGCCACTGTTGGGGAAGCAATCAGGCTGACAAAGGGAAAAGTCCAGCCGAGATATCCATCAGCTCCAACCCGGATCCAACCATCCCATCCAGATGGCCCGAACCAAAATGAAATCAAGGAACACTCAGAACTTCTTTACATATGAGGAGACTCTGCCCGGACGTCTATTTGACTCTATTCTCCAACGCCAGGAAATCAATTCATCCAACAATCAAGGACCCTTGGTGAATGGTGCCTGCCTGGAATTTGGCCTCAGGACACAAAATCCCTATAAAAACCCAGGCCAGAGAACCCTCGAGCGTGGATTTGGGAACACCTATACCTTTGGGTATAGACCCCTGTCCACCCAGTGCTGCACTGATTTATTTTATTGTGGTTTTTTCTCTCGTTGTTTGTGATTGAAATTGTTTTATAATAAATTGCTTTTTATATTAACCCTATTTTTGCCATTGCATTTATAACACTAGTCTTCCCCTTACCCCACACATGCAACCAAAATGCATCAAATCAAGACAGCGATCTCCTTCCAGTCTCTCACACCATCTTTCTCTGGAAAGGAAATGCCAGTAGTGTTTGAAAAATCAGTTATTAAGAACTGTAGTTTACTCTAGGTAGCTCATGTGTTATATTAGATAACATGGCATTTTGCTGTAAGAAAATAAGTGTAGTTTTTCCCTAGCCCAGCTTATTTTTTATGCAAATATTTGGAACAGGAAATAAAAACCAGTTAATAGTTTTGGGACATGTGGGTATAGTTGGAATAGTTTAAGCAAAGATGAACCATGATTCTTCTGACTGCCTCCTCTTTCCTGTGCTGTTTTGTCTAATCCTGCCTCAGAGTATGTCAACAAATTTTCTTGAAGCTCAGAAGGTGCAGTGGGTTGGAAATAGTGATCCTTTCTCTGTCTCTTCCTGTCTTTATGGTTTTTATGGGAAATTATTTAAAACTTACATATTTGTGGATTGTCTGGTTCTGGCTAAGACAGGATGAATTTTTGCAGGAAATTCCAGTACTCTAGGTGGTGTTATGGCTGGAACCCAGAGGTTATTTTCTATCATCTCATATCATTGTTGGGGGTGGGGGAAAGGGATTCTCTTCTGGGAGGAGGGGTTCCTTTTGGCTGAGTAAGTGTGGCACTGGCTCTGAGCCAGAGGGAGCAGTCAGGGTGGTGTGGCTGCAGTCAGGTTGGGCTCTGCAGTGAGCATTTCGCATGTAAATCACTCTCTCTTTTGTACACTTTTGTTTTTAATATTGTCGCTGTTGTTCATTTCCTTATCTCACTGTTGTTCCCAGTAAATTGTTTTTATCACAGCCACAATCTTTTGTGACTCCAGTTCTCATCTCCAGCCCACCACAGGGGTGGGGAGGGAGAGGGAGTGAGCATGCAGCAGCAAGATTTGGAAAATCTCAGTGGGAACACTAAATTGGAGAGTGCCATTCCTATATGATGACATGGAGAAAGGTACAAATTTATCATGTAAGATACCTATAAATTAAAACAGCCTCAAAACCTTTGAATGTAAGCACACTTGAGTTCTGGTTCTGCCACAAAGGGCACTGGTTTTGTTAGAGTGACATAATTCTTTTCTCAAACAAGTTAATTATAAACCAAAATAAATTTACATAGAGGGCAGAATCTCTTAAACAAAACTGAAAAGGCAAGGGGTGTACATATTGAGTTAGTAGAAAAATAACTGTATGTCTTACTGTTCACTTCTGCTGTACAAGGAAACATTATACTAGAAGTATGTGTTTTACAGGAAGGAATAGAGCAGGTGCCTATTTCCTGATGACAAATGAAGCATGCTGGTACATGTTGCACATCTTCAGAAACTGTATACCTGAGAGTAATGGTGTCATTGCAAACACTTCAAGAATCCAGTAAATATTAAGGAAGTAACTTACATAAACAACTCTGTGTTGCTGTTCGGCACTGGATGTAGTAGATATCACTGGTTGTGATCCATTATGGTCATTCTCAGAACACAAAAATATTTCTTTGTGATACAATAATTATTAATCTTATGTGAGAATAGAAAATCTTTTACATTGCCTGAGAAACTAGTGGTTTTGCTTTGTCAGAAGTGCTTGGTTTATAAATTACACTTAATCACTGAAAGTATTTTTCTCATCTCTGTCTGCTTCTCTCATGGTTGTTTTTTAGATAATCTGTGTTCTCTAACTAAATACTTTCAAACATCTTCACAGGTAATCTTGCAGAACCAGTGATGTTGAAGTGATTAAATGATAAATCATGTTTTCTTCCAATCTAATTTATTAAGATAGCAAGAGTGAACAAATATACTGCCTGATAATTATGTACCAGGGGAAGAAAAGAAAAATGAAATACAACATATATTTCTTAGATGCTGAACTTTGGAGTCAATGACAGAGATGGTTGTATCATGTGGTTTGTGATGACAAAAAAGTTGAATGTTTTTAATGAAATATTTTCTTACAAGTACACAATTCTCTTTCCATTTCTTATTTTCAGAAAATAGTAATCACATTCAAACTATATAGGGTAATATGGCAACAACCCATTGGAAATGTTGAACTTTGAATGTTTGAATTTTGGCCTATCTGTAGTCTGTAAAAAATGAAGAGAAACAATTTATTATTTTTTTGACATGATGATACTTCATTTAATACATCTAATGCAGTATTGTTAGCCGTTTTGGATTTGATGCTGAAAACATGTCTGGATTTCAAGATGGATATTTGGGGGAAAAAGAACAGCTCTCTATAGGAACTGAGTTTTCCTGGTTTCTTGCTCAGTGCCCTCCACAAAAATGTTTATTTTCCTCTGCCTACATCAGCTCAAGAACCAGCATTTCAACAAACTGCCTTTATTTCACCTTATGACTCCTGTTGCTTGAAAGAGCACACAACATACATGGCTGGCGCCTTCAAGCATGTTTAAAACCTAGAGACCTGTCTTACTCAAATATGTGTTTAGAAACTAACACAGTGACAGACAAAATTGTGTGGAACTCAGCGTATATGCTAAACCATACCTATTGCAATAAGAACTGTTCACAGGACAAGAAATTGTTTTCTTATTGCAGGTTTTACCAATTCCTTTTAAATGAATCTGTAACGCAGGACCTTTTGAAACTTAACTGATGGCTACACAATCTTTTTCCTACAGTCAGAAATTCTTTTACTCAACTACTCCTATTCTTTTATTTAGGACAGTGAAAAGAAAGGATTTATTAATAGGCTTTATGCCATCCAGGAGGTGTGTGTCACTGTCCAGAATATCCTAGATGAAATTGCTTCTTTCGGTGAAAGGATCAAGAAGTAAGTGCTGACACAGGTGCTGGATTGCTCTCCAATACCCTTTAACATCTTTTCCATGCAGAGATATAAAATGTTAGACTTACTTATTCTAGGGAAGCCCATTGTTCAAACTCATCTATATTTACTTTGCTTTATAGAGGCCCTCAGTCAGTGGAAATTCTGTCATATTAATTCTGGAATTTATAATTACATTAATTGAGACAAAAATAAGAAGTAAGGTTTTTAAGTAAAACAGAATGAGCATCTTGTTGGGAGGTGTTAATTAAAAGCAATAATAAAAAATGCAATTTTGATAAATGAAATAGCAGTACTGAATAGGGGCTTCATATTTTAAGAATGTACACTTTATTTTTAAAAAGTTTTATTTATAGGTCAGCAAAACCTTTCCTTTAGAATATTTGTAATTTGTATCATCAAATACATGGTATATAAAAATTGACAACAAATCTAGACATTAAGAAAGAGAGGTTCTGAGATATACTGCAGGAAATGTACTTGTGTATTTCTGGCATGGTCAGTGGACATAAGCACAAGTTTATTACTTGAGGTCAGACAGGTTCCAGAAAGACACCTTCCAGCTGTAAGCTGCAAAGCATGGAGAGGATTGACTTGCTGTTCTGCACCTTGAAAGCCAAAAGCATCTTACCAGTACCCAATTTACTTTTAGAAGTGAATTTTAGGAAACCAAAATTCTTGGGTGGAGGTCAGTCTGCAGGAATCCTGAGGATCATCTCTAATACTGTCCTTTTCTATCCTGATGACAGGAAGATTGCCATTTATGCATTTAAGGGAGTTTTCCTTCCTAATTTGCCCTAAACTAAGACAGTCCCTAATAGGAAAGCCTGAGAAAGTGTTCCCATAGGGATAATTCCAGGCAGGCTGTGTTCACAGCAGGAGAGGCAGGTGCAAGCATATCGTATCATACAAGTTTTCCCGTTACAAAAATGAGCCAGTCTCTGAAAAAAACCCTTTATCAAAAGGCTATTCGTGGAAGTTGTCTTGATGATTAAGTAGTTCTAATTGTGCCTTTTGGAGGTAGGGTTTGTTCTATTATATACCAGATGAGAGCTACAGAATTTTGTAAACTGAGTGAGACTATAAATCTTTGTAATTTGCTCCTAAAACTATAATGGGAAACCTGTACTGAATGCTGTGTTAACACAGCCCATAAGGAGCTTTGCTAAGTGAGGAGCCAGTGCTCGCACGCATCATGGTGTGTCTGTGATCCATTGCACAAAGCCGAGACACAGGAACATGAGCAGACCCTCAACCTTCTGTTCATCCCAAATGCCTACAGGAAAGGGGAAAAGAGCAGGTGTCCCCTGAGGATAAAGGGAGGGGTCCTACACTAAGTGACACTACCATAATGTTAGTGGAGACATGTCAAAATTGTCAGGGAAAAAAGAAGACAAACACAGGAAGCCAGAGCTCATTATGAAAAATATGGCTTGCAATTCAGATAATTGCAATTATTCATCTAGAGAAGCCAAAATAATGTAACCACATTGATTGAGAATGTAGCTAGTAGTAATACTTTAAAGTGTATCATGAGACTATTTAGATTTAAAGCCACATTTTCCTTCTGGATAAATGTCAGGCAACACTTTTGAGATGGCATTGCCTTCCTGGAACAAATCCACTGAACCCAGCTCCCCTTAACCAACATTCCTATGGGACATATTTATAAAATTATCATCTGGTCTTTCTCTCTTCACTGAACACAGAGGTTGGAGAGCCACAGCACCCTGTTTTAAGATCAATTAACTGTCCCTTTCTCACACTTCAGTTTTGCAGAATGAGGTGACCTGCAGACTTTTACCAGAATAGAGTCTGGGATGCTTAGTGAGGATGTTTTTATCTGTGACTTTTTTTGGAAAGGTAATGTCCTGAAACCCTGATGGGATCCCAGAAATTCTCTTCCTTTATTCATATAAATAACCGTTACTTATAACCTATTTACTTATTTCAGGGTTTTTATTACCTTTTTTTTTTTTTTCCTTTTGACATTCAGAGCATTTTTATTTCTTCTCTCAGCCACTGCTGTTGCATTGTCCCTGTCTTCATGACTAACTGTTCTATCCCCTCCTTTTTTTTCCCCCTGGCCCTCTCCTTCTTAAGAATGGATGAGTTTCCACCTTTGCATAGCCGTGCACTTGCCTTTTCCTTTTTCCCCAAAGCTGGAAGGCACCTGGCTGAGGTGTGCGCCTACACCTCAGACAGAGGGGAATATCCCTGTTCAGCCTTTAACTGCTTGTGCTGTCCTTACAGTGGAATAGGGAGGAGATAAAACAAGAAAGCCTTAGTAGTACTCTTCCAACTATTGTATCCTACTCTCCCATGGTGTTGAGAAGAGAATGTAGATTGCCTGTGCGAGTACATTTGCCTGATGCTGAAACTGGGGTTAGGCACTGAGATTTCTGAAAAGCAGAGCAGTGATTCACCTGGCAGATGTGCACTGCTGGGCTGGGAGAGGTGAAATTCAGCAGGCGAGTGGGCAAAGCCAGGACCTCCTTTCACTTCATTTCCACTGACAGTGGGTCCAAGCCCAGACACTCCCTGATGAGTGGCAAATGTATCCATGCCTTCATCAGTAGACTCAGTTTGTTCTCCTTAATGGAAACTGACACTTCTCCCACTGTCCTCTGCTCTTGTATTGGCTTTATTGGCTGACCTCAGTTCTGACTTTTGTTAACTTTTCTCTAGTACATTCAACTGGACTGTCCCATTCCTGAGCTGGCTGGCAATTGTTGCCCTCTCTGTGTTCACAGTCATCTTGTATTTCATTCCACTGAGATACATTGTCCTTGTCTGGGGTAAGTAAAGCTGTTTTAAACTGCCTGTACCGCTTTATAATCCTGGTTTTTAATGAATGACTTACACTGACAGTACTTTTTGGTATTTATGGCCATGAAGCTGCCCTATGATGGAATTAGGAATGTTAGTTAAAAATTGCAACAGTGTAAATATTTAGGACCACCTGCAAAATGCATTTTTCTTGGCTGGCATTCTAGACTTAATCATACTATAAACATGTAGCCATGAGGATTCTTCATATATCAAAATGTAGCTTTGTCTAGATATTACTCTGATTTATTTTCACCACTTATACATAAACAGAGACATTTCAATCTATATAGTGCATTTAGGACAATACACCTTTTTTACTGCAGTACTTTATCTTGTGAAAGTGTATGCAAACATAGCAGCAAGAAACCTGTTTAAGGGGTCACCTTTAGTTAGACAGAAAGGAATAGAGGGTATTTGGCTGGTTGATAATGAACAGAAACCCTAGGCAGATGGGGGGATGGAATTATGATTGATCCAAGCTTTCACTACTTGTGTTTATATCTATTCTTTATACTGTATTTTAAAAGCTTCTGTTACCACATCTGCTGTAAATAATGCTTCTTTCATTTGTATATCTTTTCATGCATCTTACACCACCAGCAGCTGTACCCTCACCCAGCAGCACAGACTTATGGAGAGCACAGTCTCAGTTACATCAGTGGCTAGATTTTCTTTCTGAAGAGAGAATAGCAATCACACTTTTGTGACAAACTTTCGAATTCAGGAGACAGCACAAAATCACTGAACTGACTCCAAAGAATTTATTTTTTGTTTACTGGTCAGTAATTTTCTGAGAATGTTTTCTCAAATGACCATAGCCAAAGCAATAAAGAAGGTATGAACAAAAGTATTTCTGCAGAACTAACAAAAGCAAGCATATGGGCTTCCTTTCCTTTCCTGTCTTTGACTTCTTCTTATTTCCCCATACCATGCATCACTTAAGTGTAACCCAAACTCTTAGTTTGTTCCCAAAATTTCATTTTTTCTAGCACACACACAGGAAGTTCAAGTATTTGTCTGTGTCCTTTTTCTGTAATTTTTCAGATGGGTCTGACATCTTGCTTTTTTACATCAGGTTTGATACAATAACCAGAGATTATAATACCCCTCCAAGAGCCACATAACTGTAGAGCCAGAACAGTTCTTTGAAAAGCTCATGACTCATATTCCTGTAAGTGTCACACTCCCACAGAAATATCTCTGTTTCAGGCAGAGTCTCAACTCCCAAGCCTACCAAACCATGGATGGATAGCATAAGGATAAATTATTATAAATGCACCTTGCACTCTCTTCAGCTCTTCCCTCCCTGCCTTCAAGTTACATAGGCTGTGTTGAGAGAACTTCAAGCCCCTTTGTTCACTTGAGGTTTCAACTCCACATTTTTCTCCGGCATGTTTTTGTCCTTTTCCAGTGACTTTTTACTCGGCAAGCATATGTGGATCCCTTCTTTAAGAACCTTTTGCTCCTGCATCATGACAAGAGATCAGACAGGCACTGCATAGGTGCACGTCCCACAGTTCAGACCTCCTCAGAATGAAATGAATCCTCACAGAGATATGTCAAGCTGAGCATAGCTTTGAGCCACTGTCCTTTCAAAACCTGCAGTATTCCAAACGCCTATGTATTTTCTCCACCATTGCACGTTTCTAGCCTCTCCTAAGTATATTTATTCATCCTATTCATCCATCCTGCCTGTGGAAACCATTGATTTCTCTTTTTATTTCCGTAGGAACGTTTGAGCTGGTCTGTAGCAGCACCTGCCCATTTTGTTCTTTGGAAGATAGAGTTTTTAAATGAAAATTTCTTCATATTATGTCGCCCTGAAAACTCAGCTTCTGAGCTTGCTAACATAGTTTTCTAAGGACTTTCCCAGGACAGTAACTGTAAACATAGATATGTGTACATTCTTTCTGTTACATGGCTTGTGATGGGCATCTCTCATGGCCAGTGCAGTGAGAAAGTGTTATCCTGACCATCCAATCCCTGGCCATGGTAAGAAGCCTATAAATCCTGGGAGGGAAAATAAACTCTGCTCTTTCTTTACCACACCTCAACCTGTGTCCGCGTGATCTATTGATCTTCAGCGGTAACCATATTATGTGTCATCTTTGGTATTGCTGTCTTCCTTCTGTGCTTCCATAGGGTCTGCCCCTTTCAGCCTGCCCTAGCAAGAAATTCTCCATCCTTTCCTGGCTGTCTCTCTCCCAGAGGAGACTACCAGTCCTTGAAGATGTGGTGTGTTAGATGGAGTGGAGCAGGTAGAGAGGAACCACCTCTCCATCCTAATCCCACTTGATGAAGTCCTGAGTCCTGGTAACAGATACAGCTGTTTATGTGGAAAATACTATAATTATTTTAATCTGAAAAATTTCAAACTGTTGGAAAAGACCAATCCCCTTGTTATATTCTGCTTCTTTTGTAGTGTCTCCTCTCATCTGTGCAGCACTTTTCCTTTCTCAAGGTTTCATGTGCTGACTGGTATTTTTCTTTATCAGATGTGGTTAAGTGAGATCATACATACCACCTGAATTCACCACGGGTGGTCCAGTGGCCATGTGCAACGAGCAGCGGTGTTCACCTTAAATTTTGCAGTCACTTGTGATGCAAAGTATCTTCTTAAATGAAGGTTCTTGAACGTCAGATATTCCTTCTGAATACTCATTATCCAATACCATATAAAGGGAGGGCAGCATCTCCTATCTATGCAGCAGAACTGAGGATTCATGCTGTGGGAAGCTTTGGGTGTTGTTGACACTGAATCTTGCATGCCTCATCCAAAGGCTTTATGTCCTTGCTAAAGCTTTCTGAAAAGTTTGGGCACCAAAGACTTTGTAGAAGATAAACTATGTTATCTTATATCTGATAAATTACACAGAAAAGCATATTTTTAATAGTGTCCTGGCTTGCTCCTGCTCATGTGAAAGTCAATGCAGTTTGCACTGTTCCTGTCCATATTTTAGATGTGTTCCCAGAGCCCACAAACCAGGTTCTCAAAGTGTATGAATCTGACTTGCTATGTAATGATAAGAAAACAAGTATAATTTAAAAGCCCGCTTTCTGGTTATTTTGTGAATTATTTTTCTTGGTGCTTCTGAACTCTAATTGTCAGTAGGCATTATAAGACCATGATGTCTAAGGGAGACATATCCTCTCTTCTCTGCACTGCCATCAGCTCTTCTCTATCTGTCATTCCCACACAGAGGTTTGTGCAAATTCCTCTAAAGTCTTCATATGATGCAGACTTCACGGCTTCCCATATGTTTCATTGTCCTTAACATGAAAAATACTTCCCTTGAATCTTCTGAATCTTTTATAAATCTTGTGTCCTCCAATTAAGCTGATTCCTGCTCATCTTTTCTGTTACATTCTGTTTATGCCTCTGCTTTTCCCAACTTCCTCATAATAACAGTTTTAGTTACTTTCCAAAAAAATATATTGAAGGAATTTGAAAATGTCCCTAGAACTTTTGCCTTTTGAAACAGGAAACCACAGAAGCAGAGTCCAGCCTTTGGAGCCTGAGTTTTCAATTAATGCATTCAGTGCTACAGTCAGGATTCAGAATGGATCCTAAAATCTGTTTTAAAACTATGACAACAGTATGTATTTTTTTATATCTTATATATTATGATAGTAACATATGAATTTTCACTTTTGCAGGCATCAATAAATTTACAAAGAAGATTCGAAATCCATATGCAATTGATAACAACGAGCTACTTGACTTTCTGTCCAGAGTCCCTTCTGATGTGCAAGTGGTGTGTATATTTTTTCTGTTTTGTTTTTTTTTAAAAAATAATTTTTAATGCAGTTACTTTGCTTTACTATTACATTCTTTGGCAGAAATAAATTGCAAAGTCAAGCTGAGGATAGCCCATAAACCATAAGGAGGCTGCTAGAACTTTTTCCAATGAGAAAGAAGTTCCTGCATTGGTTGTACCTCTGAGGATCCATAGGAGCAATCAGTAGAAGGACAAGTGTTTGTGAGATGGTAGCAGATGCCAGGGCTCCTATTAAACAGCATCCAGCATGATGTGAATCTGACTAGGATAGGGCACAGTGGAAGTGCTGGAGCGGAGGCTCTCAGGACAGGCAGAGAAGGAACAGGAAGGTCAGATAATGGAAGAGGCAAGCAGCATTGCCCAATGTCTTGTGACAGCACTCTCTGAGAGCAGTTTGGCCTTTCCACACATGAAAGCTTTTGCTGTGGCCTCAGTTCAACAGTGCTCATAAACTCCTTAAAAATAATTTTAAAAAAAGATGGTTGTGAATTACAGGCTTTTATGATGCAGCACACAATACCCAGAGCAAGCAAGATAAGATAGCATCAAGTACATAAATCATAACCTGTGTCACAAAGATTATGGACTTCCCGTATTTCTAGTTTCAGTTCAGAGCTGGTATTAAGTAGGAGATATGGGTGCAAACACCCTCTCTGTATCTGATACCCTCCATGGTAGACATTTAGAAATAACCAAGTTTTTAAGAAATATTATGAAGAATGGTATCCAACATGATTCAAGATGATAATGTTTATTGTCTGCTAGAGCTTGTGGAGAAAAAAACAAAAAAAAGTAGTAGTTTCTAAGTTTACTTTGTTATTTCCTGGTAGGATTTTTCCTGGTGTTGGTTTTCCTTCTTATTCTAGATCTGTCATTCTGTTGTTGGTTAATAACATCTGCAAATCCTGTGTCATTTTTAGGGGGAAAGCCTCTTTTTTTAAACTTTTTATCCCGTGGTAGAAAAAAAAGATATCTTTCTTTTTTTCTAACAAGTGCCATCTGACAACTTACTTTCTGAACTTTGTGTTTAAACAGATGCAATACCATGAACTGAAACAAGATTCTACTCACAGCCCAAGCAAGAGAAAGAAAAATAATCCTGCCTAGCCAACTTCATGTGTTGAGGAGACCAGCATCTGCCAGGGGAAGATAAAAGAGCAAGCCTAAAAAGCATTTCCTTTCTCTAAGCTTTTTATTTATCTTGCCTTTTTATCTAGTGCAGAGATTTTGTAACAGTATTAAAAGGCGTTTCTCATGGAAAATCTATTTCTCATTGTAAAGACATTTGTTTCAGGTAGGATTTTTGCCATTTTAAAGCAATGTAAAACATTAAATGAGTCAATCTAAAATGGAGAAGATATACTACTACCTGGCTGTCAAATATACATGAGATAGTCAAACCATGCCAACTAAACCTACAAAATGTTTAACTTTAAATCTGACTCAGAAATTTCTCAGATTTTATTTGTGAGCATTAATATTTTTATCCAGTAAGTCATCATTACAATTTTCTATGTTTTATATATTGCAAAAGAAATACAAAGTAGTAGGACCTACTGCACTTAAGTTTTAGCAGATTTTTTTTAAATTTCAGACCCTGATGTTAACTCCTGGTGCAACATTTTTCTATGTGGTAGGACTGCTTATAAGACAGTGAGAAACACCAAGTGCAAATTTCTTTCTGGAGCTCCTAAGAGCAGTTCCTGCTGTCTTTATCATTCCATTGTTATGACCTAAAAATCTCCGTTTCAAAATACTGCCAGGTTTGTAACTGACTGCCTATCATGTTTTTTCTACATGTACCAATAGTCTTCATTTGTACTACATAGCTTAGCTCTAATGGGTCAAACTAACTCCATACTGCTTTGGGTGTCATGCTGTGAACACTTTTTGTGCACATAACTATTTTAATATGGATATCTTGCAGAAAAGGTTTTTCATTCAAATCACAAGATCATATTAATATGCTTTATGGTATAACATTACCTGTTACCAATGTGAAATACCGTGTAGAGGAAAAGAATGCAGTTATGGTAAAACTGATATGCCAGGGTTTTTTCCTTAGTTAATAATGTCAGTTCTTCTGATATGATCTTTCCCTACTGCATGGAAACTGCATTATCTTATAAATTACGTGGAACATAGATGATAAACATTTACATTTCAAATGTCTTAGTGGCCACTGCATAATGAGTACTTGGGGATATATTCTGGTAGCTGCATGCAGACTTCCACACTCAGCTCCCCACATAGTGAGCAGAGTCTCATTCCTGAGGGACTACCTGTGCACAGCTCCTCATTATAGTTCCCAGTGACATTGAAGGGGATTTTTTTGCCCAGGGGAGAGTGACAGGACTGCATCCTCAAGGGGGGCTGTGGTCCTCTCTGGATTACCTCTCACTGGTTGCAATTGCAGATGAAGTTATATTGCACTACTTTAAAAATACTTTTTGAAAACTATTTAGAAATACTTTGCAAGCACATGTGAATATGTATTTGTCCAAAGAAATACGTGTTAGCTGCATTGCTCATGAAGGATCATCCTGGATTTCTTTATTTTGCAGATAAGATGATAGCCAAGTTCTTACATGACATTTTACTTTGATCCTTCTGTTGTATATTTAAAAGAATGCAAATCAAATGAATGGTCTGCAGAAAGCCTTGGAACTAAACAAGCTCTTGTTACATCATGACTTTGAAAGAGTTTAATTTTGCAGCTTGTGTAACCTTCTGGCTGTATCCTACATGTATGAAGAGCCATATACTATTGGTGAAATCAGAAGCACTGGTCGGCCTATTTTGTTTTAAAAAAAACAAATTTGTGACCGAACAAGATGTGAATGTTTGTTGCCTGTTGTCAGTTTTGCACATTTCTTTAATACACTGCAAGCCTTGTACCTTCTTAACCAAGTTGCCCACCAGCCTGTGTGCAATTTCTTCTTGTCTCACAATTTCAAATGTCTACTTTGGTGGTAATATCTCAGCTGATTATGCACGTTTCCTGCATTAAACACACTTCTAAGCATCACTCTATTAGATATTCTGAAGCCTCTGTCTTTGAAATCCTATGTTGTAGTTCTTCCTTAAGTGCTGCGATGGGCAAGTGAATGAAAACATTGTATTTCTTTGTGCAGGATTTTAGTATTTTAAGTTCCATAACATGCGGGATAGGGGGGGTGGGGGGACACACACACACACAAAAACATCTTTTTGTTGAAAAATGGTGAACTTCTTTTAAATGCCTTGTCACTCAAAATTGATCTCACTGAAAATGTAACGCACAAAGGCAAGGGTAAGAATGTGTATTGATTAAATAGGATTCTCCTGTCACAACAAGACAATTTAAAATCACAGTTTAAAATAGTTTGTGAGTGAACCCGTTTTCACTATTTGCAGTTTGTCTATGCTGCTTTGTGTAGGTGGCCTCTGCAAAGAGCCAATCCTGCCTTATGCCATAAATATTCCAACATATCTTCCTTTTCCTTTTCCAGACTGATTCTGAAGTCCATTTCTACCCTATTGGATTTGGCAGACTTTATTCCGAAAGCAATTTGCCCATGCATAAACAATAAAAAATGAATAAGGCATTTCACAATCATGAAATTGTTACTGTTCTCAGAAAATAAAATTTAACTTCATGTGGGTTCATAGAAAATCATTAGTTTAGTTGGAGTCCATATTTAGATTGCATGTCAGAGCACTCAGAAACCACTAAGGCTGATTAATCTGAGAGGATGCTGTTGTATTCCTGCTAATAACTCATAGTACAGAGCTTGCTTACCCTGTTTTTTACAGCTGTTCCTCTTTGTAGAAGCACCTAAGTATTTTTCATAACAGCAATAAGCTTTTAACTGGAAGAACTGCTGTATTATAACTTAATATTTTAAATCCAAGTTTAATAACCCCAAGATTTTTTTTCTATTGCAATTAAACTAACAGTGGAATAATGAGAAAGTAATTAAGCAGTCTGCATACACTCTATCAGCTAATTTGATCCCTGAGAGCATAGGCTTTACCAGCAAGAGGAAGAGCTGCCAGCCAATGCACTGCATGATGCTAAGGTATTTCATGTGAAGATAATCCAGGAGCATGAAGTGAATGAGATAAAGGAAAACTTACTCCTTTCATCATTGTTAGATTACACATGCATGTATACTACACAAAATATAATGAAAAACTTTGAAGCTCTCTGCTCAGCAGCCACTGATGCCAAAGTGCAGTTTGACTTGACTTGTGGTTTAACACAGACTGAGTGCTTTGTGGCAGAAACTCTTCAGTTGACACTGACCCACTTGCAACTTGCATCTGCACATCAACTCCCAGAGTCTGCTCAAGCCTCTACCACCTTCTCACTGAATGGTAACAGTAAAAGGTATTGGCTTTTTGTTGAGCTGGGTACTCAACAAAAAAATCAGTTTTCCAGTGATGTTTTTGCCACGTTATAGGACTAAACTTGCTGATTTGCAGTGTGGTGCACTGACCATTTCTCTTACTTGCAAAAATTTAGGTCTCAGAACCAGACTGCTGGGCACCTCTATCCTTGAGTTACATTCATAAAAGGAGTTTTTTTGCTGCCTCTTGAATAAATTGAAAAATATTTTCCTTCCTCATAGGATTTCTAGCCCTGGGACACATAGCAAGTTCAACAAGCAAGTGTACTTGTATCAGGAGGAGTCTGTTGTTTACAGTCATGCGATAATGGCTTGATCAGAAGAAATGGGTCTGGAGACTAAAGAAGCCTTTCCCTACTGTGTTTGTATTCTTCAAGCTGAGTATTCCTGAAGACATCTGTTGGGAAAACGGAAGAGGAAATGGGGAAGAGCCTGGATTGCTTGATAAAAGATTTACTGAGAAACTGGTTAACTACCTACTATATCTAATTCTTGTAGGATTTTTTTTTAAAGGACTGGGATTTGTGTAAAAGACAAGTCTTTCTGCACTAGAAGTAAGTATCTTACTTGTTCACTTGTTCAGTGACTGCAATTTGCTGAGGCAGATTACAGTTTTGGGAAGACTGGACTGGAAAAGAGTTGGGGAAGAATTATAGTGGATTATAATGCTGAAAGCAGCAGTGTTTTCTCTCCATGATGCAGATACATACTTTTCCCTGACATGCTTACAGAGACCTTACAGCTTTGAGCTTGCAGCTCAAAACCACAGTCACATTCACACAGTTCCAACAGCCACCCCATTCCCCATCTCTTCCCAACTTCACACGTTGCTCATGCCATGCCATTGGAGTTGGCCCTACACCTCTCAATGTAAAGGGCCTCTCCTTTCTTCCACTTTGGCCTGCAGTCTCTAAGTGACCAAATTCTTCATTTCAGTGGTCACCACTGAAACTAGGAATTAATTAGAAACTGTTTTCCATGTCATCTTCTCCTGCTTCTCCCTATTTTTTCTTTTGATAGGCTATTTTTCCTCATCCACATTCTTTGACTAATTCACCTTTTTATAGATGTAACTCCTTGACAAGATGATCACAAATCTTCGGCTGCTGGTTTCATGTCAGCATTCCAGGTTTCCCTCACATACCTCCTACCCCTGAAGCTCAATGTTTGGTTTCTCAATGCTGTAATACCTGTCTTTCATCAGTTCTGCTTCTCTTGGACCTGCAATGACTCCCATTTAGACCAATCTCCCCACAAATTCAGACTTTGTTGACTCCTCTTTCCCTGGTAGTGATATATTTTGAAGATGTTCTCCATGATAGTACAGAAAAGAATAGGAAATGAAGTCGAGGAAATGAAAATCTAAATTTAAAGGAAAATAAATGTCTGGAAGTTTTATAACTGTTCCTTCAATTTGCATCCATCTTGCTGTTGCTTACTGGCTTCTGAAACATCTGAGCTTGCACTTTTGCTCTGCTCCAGTTAAAGGATTTGGACCTCCATGTGACTTGTATCAAGTGATAGTAGGCATTTGATCTGGGGGGAAAACAACATAAATGCATGCCAAAGCAGAAAACCTGTAGTTCATGAAGTCTGTGTCTAAAAGTAGCAATTTTAGCAAGCATGGGTTGCTTGGGGTTGAAGAGGATTGTTTTAATGTATTCTCCATCATGGAAAATGGGCTTTCACTCTGCAATTTACTGTTCTTTGTAAAATCCTCTGATTCATAATTAAATACCACACTATGATTTTTGCAGTTTGGGTTCCTTTTCTACAGGATAATGTGTAGGCTGCACTTTAAGCAGACATTTTCATAACAAAGTCTGGCATTTG